GTTGTTGCTCAGGTTGTTGCTCAGGTTGTTGCTGTAGTTGTTGCTGTAGTTGTTGCTCAGGTTGTTGCTGTAGTTGTTGCTGTAGTTGTTGCTCAGGTTGCTGCTGGTTCATGTTTGGGGGGGAAGTTCTTAAAGAGACATGATGAGTCTGTTTAAAGCAACTTGTTTCAGACGGACGAGCAGCAGATCCTGCAAAGATCTGACAGATGTTTAGAGAGCACAGCCGGTTCTGGCAGAACCAGGTGTGTAAAAGCTGGAGAACAAAGGTGAACAGTGAAGCCTTTAATGTTGGAGAGCCGCTCGGCTGGTCACATACCAAACCTTTCACCTCCATCACCTCGCTGACAGACCTGACAGCTTAATGAAAACACACTCCAGCTTTTATTAAAAATACTCGGACATGACCGAGGTCAGAGGCGCAGAGATCAAATGCATCAGAAGATGATGAACTCTGCACACACTTAATTAAAATGCTGCTGCTGCGGAGGAGGAGGAGCCTGAGCGGTGGATGTCCTGCAGACGGAGGTTTGTCCTGCGATGGTCCAACACGCTGCTGCTGCTGCTTCACAGTAACAAGATGAATTTATCAAAGTGACACGTGTTTATTTGCGCCTGCATCTTGTTATTTCTGGTTATTGTAAATCGCTCGGGTGCATCTCAGCGTCACGTTTTCTGTTTCAGGGTTTCCCCACCTGAAAGCCTTCAGTAATAGACTCTGTGCTTCGACAAATTAGAGCTTCTACATGTAAAACAGTGAAGAAACAGTGAAGCAGTTTGTCCTCCAATGGAAAGAAGAAAAGACAAAAACATGTATGAAACTTACATCACCTCACACTGTGTGCTAATTCTATATCTATATTAAATTAAATATTCATGCACTGTTACTCACGTTACGACTGCTGCTCGCCTTATTATTTACATTTGTCAGGTTCGCTTGGATATAAACCCAACAGTGTCTCATTTTATAGAAACTAATTAGACGTGAAGTCACCACAGATTTATGTAGAACTCAGAGAACATCTGCAGTTTGTTCCATCCATATACGTCTGGATGCAATCAGACTGATGAACGGCGACGACTGCAGCAGGTTATTGATCACACATTGATTCATCAGGAGTCTGACATGAAGCGTTCCAGTTTCAAGAACCAGGAGGAACCGCAGAGAACACAAACTTTCTCTGTGTTTTCATTTTGGAGAGCCGCAGGGGAGGGTCCGCTTGTTAGCTGCAGTCCCTCGTTAACTGGTTAATTAATTAGAGGAGCCAATTAACTGGCATGTAGCTGCAGGGAGAGAGAGACGGCCGAGAGACACCGACACTCCCTGGAGACTTTCAGGCTGCTGGGGTTATTAATTATTGATCGATCGGCCACTTCTTCAAAATGTGTCGCGGTTCCCTTCAGCTCCTGCTGCTGCAGACTTTGGGCCCATTGGGGGTCAGTTCCTGGTCCATCGGTGACTTGATGTGGAGCATTTACCTTCACCTCCTCCCGTCTGCAGGTCTGACGGCGGCGGCGATGGCTGAGGCTCTGAAGCTGCAGAAGATGAGGATGATGATGGGTTTCCATGGCAAAAGCGACCAGCAGCGACATCACAGCGGCGCCGAGTCGGAGAACGACGACACGGGTTTGA